GTGCTGGATCTACTTGGACGGATCATGAATTTGATCGTCCGACACTCTGCGGAAGCGGCAGTTCAGCAAACTGCAGAAAACTTCTATTCCTTCTTCACTCAATCATCAGCCGGCGAGGGATCTCACAGCCTCGTCCACTTAGTCAATCAGCCTACACGGACCATCCTCTCGACGTGGCTTCTGGCAGCTGTTCCCAGAGGCTCGAACTCCTCGCTGCTCACAAAAGACCAGATTCCCCAGAGTATCCAAAACTTGGTGTCTTTCGCTTCAAACACTCACAGTGCGGCAGTCACCCAGAGTTGTCTTTCTCAAGTTTCTCTCTACGTCAACAAGCATATGGCAACCGCCGATCTGGGGTATATTGACCAATTAGTCTCCCAGAAACTGTCGGCGCTCAAGGACGAACCTATGGATGAAAGTAAAACGCCCGACTTTGACATTCGCCTCCTCTTTGCCCTCTTCAAAGCTCTAATACTCCGAGTTTCCCCACGGACGAACGAGTACCTGGCCAACCTCGTCGAACTCCTTGATTCGAAGCAGTATCCACACCAAGTCTCTCAGCTGGCAGCCCGAGGTTTCGCCACCATTCTGGCGGCTGATGACATTTTGTGCAAGCAGAATGGAGCGCAGATCAGGTTGCTTGCTCCTCAGCGCGTCTTCCAGACGTTGACGCCAATGATTTCCGACAAGTTCAAGACGTCACAGTCAGCCTTTGAAAAAGAGAATTTCCTCGTGGCAATGAGTGGCATAATGGCGTCTGTGCCTTCGGAGATTGTGATGCCGGAGCTTCCGACCCTTTTGCCCCTTCTTTTGCAGTCCTTGGACATTGCAGATCAGACCGTCAAGATTGCGACTTTGGAAACGTTCGCGGTTGTCATATCAAACAATCCCTCTGCGCTCGAAGAAAGCGGCCACATACCGGCTCTGGTGAAGCGACTTATCGCTGTGGCGACGCTGACGAAATCCAAAGCAGCCGGTCCTGTGAAATCAGCCTTCCCAGAGAAAGGACTTACACCCGTACCTCCAACAAATCTGCCAAAGACCCGACGTTTGGCGGTCCGCTGTCTTGCTCTGATGCCCAAATATATCTCAGCAAGCGCATCCCGAGGCAATCCTTTGATTCCACTCAAGCGCGAAGTCCTGCATGGGCTGACGAATATCTTGGATGACACGAAGCGTGATGTGAGGAAGGAAGCTGTTGATGCTAGAGCTGCGTGGCTGAGAGAAGTTGACGATGCTAATGATGATGATGTATAGACATGACTCTGTGGCGTAGCAGGGAGGGAATGAGTATATAGAATCAACTACTGATCAGAACTAGAGGGGCGGGGAATGATCGGTCAATACATGAAGGGGGGACGCGATGACTAGACTACTGGATCAATAGTACAAACGTGTAAGTAATCAATGCCCTGCACATGCAACAAGTTCAGGGTTGCAGCCTTGCGTGGCGTGCGTGACAGCCTCGTGGGGGTGGATTACATAAGTCACATTTTGCGGAGAAATGTTTTTACCCTGTCGAAGAATCGCAGGCAGAAAAACGGCCTCTTTGCCAACTCCAACAATCTACGCAGACGCTCTGATGACCATGACCCGATAACAGTACTGTCCTTCGTTCAAGAAGTGTGTCGACTGCAAAGGACCAAGAGATCGCCTCGATCAGGCGCGGATTTCGTCACCAGGTGAATTCCACTCCCACCAGAGAATCATACCATCTTCGACATGTCTGAACCGCGGTCCAGCGAACCCCGTATCAAGTCTCACAAAAGAAACACTGCACACCGCAGACGTCGCGACGATGACGACTTTGACGAGCGGTGGGGCGACGAGGAGGTCGTGGAGGAGGAGGAACAAGAGGCTGCCGAAGGCGAATTCGCGGAATCCTCTGCTAAACGGCTGAAACTCTCTGACGGCTCGGCATCGCACCGAACACGGAACGATACACCTCCTCCTCAGACGGACGAAGAAAAGGCCCAGAGAGGAAGAGAAAAGGATGCGAAGGAACGAGACGAGTTTGCGAAGCGGCTGGCGAAGCGGGACGAAGAGCGGGCAAAGAAAATTGTGGAAGACAGGTCAGCCGCCAAGGACAGTGCGACGGCTCAGCGACGCGCGTTGGCCGACGACGCATCGGCGAGAGAGGCGGCGATGCCAGATCTGAGAATCCGCTCCAGACAGGACTACCTGAAGAAGAGAGAGGCGGAGAGACTAGCGCTGCTGCGCAAACAAGTCGCCGAGGAGCAAGTGGAACTCAGAGACAACCCAGATCTGTCCAGACGAGAAAAGGAAGAATTCGCACGCAACAAGGAAATTCTGCGCCTCGCGGAGGAGAGGCTGGCCATCGACGATCACCTCGACGGCTATGCTCTTCCTGAGGACTACATCACCGAAAAGGGCAAGATTGACAAGCGGAAAAAAGAGCAGGCTCTATACCAGCGTTACGTTGATCGAGACGAGGCCGGGAGAGAACGGTATGTGACCGAGCACGAGGAATGGGAGAAGGAGCAGACCAAGAGGGCCGAGGCCCAGATTAAGAAAGCCGAATATGTCGACGAGGGCGAGTACACGTATGTCTTCGATGAGAGCCAACAAATGCAGTTCATCATGTCGGACACCCTGCAAGGAGACAAAGGTATGACCAGGGAGCAGAGGGAGATGCAACAGAGGCTCAGCGCTGCAGAGGCAAAGGCCAAGAGCATCGAGGAAACGAGAAAGAGTCTGCCCATCTATCAATTCCGGGACCAGATCATCCAGGCGGTCAAAGATCATCAGGTCCTGATTATCGTGGGTGAAACAGGAAGCGGGAAGACAACTCAGCTCCCGCAGTATCTCCATGAAGCCGGCTTCACGAAAGGCGGCATGAAGATTGGGTGCACGCAACCCCGGAGAGTGGCTGCCATGTCGGTCGCCGCAAGAGTAGCAGAGGAAATGGGAAAGCGTTTGGGAAATGAAGTCGGCTATGCTATTCGGTTCGAGGACAACACCAGCGACAAAACCGTCCTAAAGTACATGACGGACGGTATGCTGCTGAGAGAACTTCTGACAGACCCCGAACTGTCTCAGTATTCGGCACTTATGATTGACGAGGCGCACGAACGGACAGTGAGTACCGACATTGCATGTGGGCTGCTGAAAGACATTGCGCGAGCGAGACCCGATCTGAAACTCCTGATTTCCTCCGCCACCATGGACGCCAGGAAGTTTCAGAAATACTTTGACGATGCGCCCATTTTCAACATTCCCGGCAGGAGATACGCGGTGGACATACATTATACGGCCCAACCAGAAGCCAACTATCTGGCTGCAGCGATTACCACGGTCTTCCAGATCCACATCACACAGGGAACAGGAGACATACTTGTTTTCCTGACTGGGCAGGAGGAGATCGAAGCAATGGAAGCCAGTCTCCAAGAAACAGCTCGGAAGCTAGGAAGCAAGATCAAGGAGATGATCATCTGTCCCATCTACGCGAATTTGCCAACAGACCTACAGGCCAAGATTTTTGAGCCTACGCCAGCCGGGGCACGCAAAGTGGTGTTGGCCACCAACATCGCGGAAACGTCGCTGACTATCGATGGCATTGTCTATGTCATCGATCCAGGCTTCGTCAAAGAGAATCAGTACAATCCACGTACAGGTATGGAATCCTTGGTCGTTGTCCCCTGCAGTCGGGCTTCAGCGGGTCAACGCGCCGGTCGTGCCGGTCGAGTTGGTCCTGGCAAATGCTTCCGACTTTACACTGCTCAAGCATATAAGAATGAACTCGAGGAAAACACGACACCAGAAATACAGAGAACAAACCTTTCTGGAGTCATCCTCCTGTTGAAAAGTCTTGGGATCAACGATCTTCTCGACTTTGATTTCATGGATCCGCCCTCGACCGACACCATCGTCCGTGCCGTTGAGCAGCTGTATGCGCTGGGTGCCCTGAACAACGCTGGGGAGTTGACAAAGATTGGTCGTCAAATGGCCGAGTTCCCGACAGACCCCATGTTGGCGCGTGCAATCCTAGCGGCAGACAAATACGGATGCGTGGAGGAGGTTCTTTCGATCATCGCAATGCTTGGAGAAGCATCGGCACTCTTCTTCCGTCCCAAGGACAAGAAAATCCACGCCGACAGTGCCAGGGCCAGATTCACCAACAAGGACGGCGGTGATCACCTTTCACTACTGAACATCTTCAATGAATGGGTCGACTCCGACTACAGTTTTGTGTGGGCCAAGGAAAACTTTCTCCAGCAGCGTAGCTTGACTCGAGCGCGCGATGTTCGAGACCAGCTGGCAAGGCTGTGCGACCGGGTCGAGGTGGACGCAAGTAAGACTTGCGGCGGCGCTTCAAACATTGAACCGGTGCAGAAAGCTATCACGGCGGGCTTCTTCCCCCACTCGGCTCGACTGCAGCGAGATGGACAGAGTTACCGCACGGTCAAGAACGGGCAAGTTGTCTACATCCATCCCTCGAGCGTCCTTAACGAGAGTCGGCCGAAATGGGTCATCTACCACGAACTGGTCTTGACAAGTAAGGAGTACATGCGCAGCTGCATGCCTTTGAAGCCGGAGTGGCTGATTGAAGTGGCGCCCCATTATTATAAGAAACAGGATCTGGAGAGTCTGGGCGTGGAGAGGAAGGTTCCCAGGGGAGAAGGCAAGGCTCAGAGTAAGATATGACGGGGTGGGAGGTGCTGCGATGAGACGAGACATGCACATATGTATTTACCAACTGTGGAAATGTTTTCTTCACAGAGATCACCAGCTAATTGAGATCTTCCCCTATTCTTCGCTGAAATCAATCCCAGCCCATCGACGAGGCTGAAGTTCAGCCTGATGATGCCAGCCTCGTCCCTGCCAAGCCCCACATGCGCCGCGCCGTGCCGCAAATCTTCTCGACCATCAGAATAAATTTTTTATTTTGTCCTGATCTTTTTCCTTTTCCGCCCGAGCCGAGAAGAATCACCATGTAAGTCCGTCTCACTTCGTTCTCAAAGGCTATCTTCTGTCCGAACATGTCGCAAGGCTCAGGACCAGTGCCCCATCCGAGCTGCAAGGTCATCCTCGCCGGGACTATCGCGAAGGGACTTTTGGCGGAAATCCAGGCTGGTCTAAAGGAACTCGATCGCAAGCCACATCTGTTGGGGATTCTGGCAAACAATGATCCAGCAGCGAGAGTGTATGCAGATTGGACCGAGAAGACGTGTCGTGAAAAGTAAGTGTCTCTTCCGTCGTCGTTGTCCACTATGACGGCTCCATCTGGGCCACATGGTGGGAGAGCGAGAAGGACTCGACAAGCGAAAATCTGGACCCCTTTCCCATTGTCCTGCCCTCTGAAATACGTCCTGACGTGATCGTAACTGGCAAAAGTGGCTTCGCGTACACGCTCCAAGAAGCGGCAAAGGACTCGGTGGAAGAGGTCGTGCTCGCGGCCAACGCCAACCCGACCTACGACGGCATCATCATCTACTACCCGATCTTCAACAACCGGGGTCAAGACCAGTACATCCAGAACATCGTGTCCCTGGGCAAGGACGTCGAGGGCCTGAGCCACCAGTACATCTTCAACATGTACCAGAACATCCGGTTCCTGGACGAGGCGCAGATGGTCAAGAGCATCCTGCCGTGCACGCCGCTGGCGGTGATCAAGATTCTCGAGTACCTGCACATTTACAACACCATCCTGCCCTACGGCAACAGGCTGTTTGGCCGGACCATCTGCGTCGTCAACCGCAGCGAGGTTGTGGGGCGGCCGCTCGCCGCTCTGCTCGCCAACGACGGTGCCTGCGTCTACTCGGTCGACGTCACGGGCGTGCAGCAGTTTACGCGGGGCGAGGGGATCCGCAAGCGGAAACACGAGGTGGTGGAGAAAGAAGGGTGGACGATTGAGAATTGCGCTCCGCTGTGCGACGTCGTCATCACGGGCGTTCCGGGCGAAGCGTACAAATTCCCGTGCCACCTGTTGAAGGAGGGGGCCGTGTGTATCAATTTTTCCAGCGAAAAGGTGAGTCTTCATCCCCCCCACACGGTCTTCTTGCAATCGGCAATGAAACTGATTTCCGTGCAGAACTTCCCTCCCGAAGTCAAGGAAAAGGCGTCCATCTACGTCCCCGCCATCGGCAAAGTCACCATCGTCGTGCTGCTGCGCAACCTGCTCCGCATCGTGCAGAACCGGCAAGCCCAGGTGACGAAGGAACAACAACATTCCGCCGCTCAGGCATCCGCGGTTGGAGACAGTTTGAGAGTCGAGGCTATCGACAACCATGATACTGTGGCAGACGGGCGAAAAGGAGAAACGGCCCAGAACGGGGTTGCGAGGTAGCTCTCTCTATCCGGTTCTCGCGCGGCTCGCGATTCCTCCATTACCGATACCCGATTACTCAATGTGACATGACAAGTCCAACTTGAAATCGAGTTGAATCGACTCGACATGGAAATCAAATCTGTGAGTTCGATTTCGTGTATATCATCTCGACATACATCCTCTCTCACTCACTCGCGCGAGGAAGGAGTACCGCGGATCGACGGTACTATACTATAGTGCGAGGCACACCTCATATCCCCAGAGTCGACAAATGCAGGCAGACAGGCAGGCAGGCAAGAAAAACAACAGAGGGTCCTTTTCTCGCTTGGCGCCAGATCCCGAATTCTCGATTGGGACGAAACACAGATAGAAATACAAATACAAATACAAATGAAATACAAAGACGTCAGCTCCATTGAGTTTGTGTGTGTGCGTATGTATGTTTGTGGTCAACGAGGCTGCCCACCTACCTGTCGCTCAGTCGGTCGGTCAGCTAACCATTCGTCCGTTTTGATAGAAAAGACTTAGTACGAAATCACTTTAAAAAACCCTTTTTAATAGCCCCAAAGTGTCAGAGGTGGTAAGTACTAAGACTCTCTGGGCCATCTGCTGAGACCCTCCATACGGTTATGTATGAGTGGGGATCGACCCCCGCCTTTCCGGCAGGGGATTTCATGCCGAGGCCACCAATGGCGCAGCAGTACTCCCTATGTGCAAAACAGACGATTACCCGAGGTGTCTTTGGATCTGGGCAGTGTTTTCATTGTATGTGCTGTGTAACCCGGCCTTGACTCTTCCAAAACCAGGAGACAGCAAGATGGCCAGCAGAGTGGACTTCTGAGCTTTCCTGCAAGTTATCTAAACAGAAAAAGCGAGAAAGGTCAATAATTATAATGGGATTCGTTCTCATACATACCCTATTCTTGGACCGTTCGTTAAGGATAGAGGCATTCCGCGTCATTTAACAGCGAGAAGCCTCGGCAAAACCACCCTAGTTCCTGTTTCCTGATGAGCTGGCCCGGCACAATTATAGATAGTAAGCCGGCTCCTGAAAGTCGCAATTGCTTGACCTTTAGATCAGGATTTGCACAGTGCCATCTCTCCAGGGCCGGCCAACAAAAGAGCGCTACCACCTCCAGATCGATCTCGGAGCCTTGATCTTGGGTTCGACGTTGAATCATGGCTTCAAGCAGACTCTCTCAACTTGACATTCCGGAATCGTATGCACAATTGCCTCTCACTCAGGTTCTGGTGTCGCATTATCCCGAATCATCATCGACTGCGACGCCAGTCATTGTTGTCACCTTGAACCGGCCAAAAAGGCTCAATGCATACACGCCGACTATGGCGATTGAGTTGGAAAGAGTCTTCGGGCTCTTGGACCGTGACGAACGGGTCAAAGTAGTCGTTCTGGCTGGGGCAGGAAAGAGCTTCTGTGCGGGAGCCGACCTAGAAGGGGGCCTTTCGGGCGGCGCAGAGGAAGGGAAGGCTCGTGACGCGGACCACAGAGACGGGTAAGCCATGAAGCATCACTCCTGAAACTCGAAATGCATGCTCATGTATACATTCCAACTTCTAGAGGGGGCCGGATATCACTAGCTATTCACCGCTGCTCGAAGCCTACCATCGCAGCTATCCATGGCGCTGCCGTAGGGGTCGGCATAACCATGTGCTTGCCCGCATGCGTTCGGATTGCGTACTCCAAGGCCAAAATCGGGTTTGTCTTTGCTCGGCGGGGCCTCGTCCTGGAAGCTTGCTCGTCTTATTACCTCCCGCGACTGATCGGATTCTCCAAGGCGCTTTACTTGACCACCACGGGCTTGGTCTACCCTGCGGACAGTCCTTATTTCGGCGCACTCATGTCTGAACTGGTCTCGACACCGGAGCAGGTCCTTCCGAGAGCTCTAGAACTGGCTGACGAGGTTGCCAAAAATACATCACTGGTCTCCACCAAATTGATGAGAGAAATGATGTATAGAGGCCCCGATAGTCCAGAGGGCGCGCACTTGTTGGATTCCAAGATCACTCATGAATTGGCTACCAGCAAAGACTTCAATGAGGGTGTCCGGAGCTTTCTCGAGAAGCGGCCACCCCATTTCACAGCGGACGTCCTTCGAGATGCACCCAATGTCTACCCATGGTGGCCTCAGATCGACACCAGCCCTGGAGCTTCGGGGATAAATAAGTCGAAGCTGTGATGTGCCTCATAGCAACCTCCATTCGTATATATTCTCATGCGCATCTTAAAACGCCCAGACAAATCGAGCCTCTTCGGTTTGATTCGCCTTTTCCATCCTGTCGTTATGGGCGGTAGAGCAAATGAGCCCATTCTGCCTTGGATTACTGGTCACGCCGGTACAGAATCTGCGCAGGATTTTGGAGCCAGAAAAAAAATACATTGCGCGAGGCCAGAACTGGTACAAAGTGTCGTAGCACACAATCCAGGTGGTTCTCGGCCACAGCGGGCTCCCCTAGACGCCAGGCGCGCGCGGACCTGAAAGTCAAGCTATTTACGCCCTAGGGATTCAGAAGGCATATAAATTCAAAGGCGACAAGTTCCTGCTGGTGCCGCTTAGTCCAGTGAACTGAACAGCGCAAAGCATTACAGTCGAATCTTTCCTGGCTGGTCTGACATTTCTTTTGTAACTTTTGGGCAAGTAGGGGATCTACCTCTAGTTTTAAAAAAAATAAAAATGAGTCACTATCCTGAGGATAACATCCTCCCCAAATCTAGGTCAGGAAGCAAGGACGAAGAGAAGAGCACCACTGTTGAGGATGTCACGACGATTGATCGAAAAATATTGTCGAAAACCCCAGGACACCGCCGCGGGCCGCATTGTCGTACCCCAATGGGCAGGGAAGCCAAGGTCACGTTCAAAGGTTTGTGACAATAGCAGCAGGCTGTTCTCTGTTCTCTGAGACCATAAAAAAATTGACACAGCGACAACAGACTTGGCTTGTAATCCTGTTGCAGAGCATGCAGTTTGCGCTCTCCTTCTGGCCCGTGCCAACCAACCACTGCAGCCACTTTGCAAACCACCCTTGGCGAGAGAAGTTTGGGGATCCTGCTACTTACCGCACTCTGGTTCATCCCGTCCTACGCCCTAATGCTTCCAGAAAACCGCCCTGGCGTTCGAACTTTACACAGGTGACACCCCACCAGGCACCAACCAGGTGCTCCGTACACCTGCAACTCGCGAGCCAGGTGCCAGGGTCGGAACGACGCCACAACAAATCGATCACATCATGCCAGGTGGCCGGGTTTCTGTCACAAGCCACACGTCACGCCCTGCAGGCAGTCATCACGTCTATCAATGTGACTTGGGTGATGAGACAGGTAACGCAGTATGCCCCTGAGTGGCTGGTGCATGTCTTGTATATTGAGTCCTCACGACCATATGCCGATGCGACCCGAACCCGAGCCTTTCTGCAGACACTCATGGATGCAATGGGTATTCCGCATCTTCGACTGCTAGACCATGTGTTATGTGGGCTGGGGAGGTCTCAGCGTGGAACCGAAGCTATGGAGGAGGAAGCAGCCTGTTGTTTGATGAGTTGTGAGCTTGGTTGTCCTTCGATTACTGTTGTGTAGTGGAGCGCCATATTTTGTCCCCCCGGCCAATTGAGATTGACCATGGATCTTCACACAGATGAAGACTTCATATGCACGTGTCAGCCCCATCCTTGCCGTGTCAATTTGAGCTTTATGTCCTCCCGTAGAAATGCTCTCTTGCCAATATGCGACCTTCCAGGGAAATATCTCCCCGTCCAAACCAACCCAACCACCTCTACTCTGTTGCCGTGGCTTTCTGCATTCCATTCCTGTTGGGAGCCAGCATCCAGTCTGGTAGAGCCCTCATTAAAGTGCCAACCCACATCTTCCTCGGCACAAAGACACTTCCACTTCGCCCGCCGAGGACCTGCTCTACAACCCGTACCGCGACCTCTACGGCCTTGAGAACGGGCTGGCCAGATGATTCGTCTCGTGTAGGACTGATGGCGACCTCCCCGCTATGCCCATTCAGCCATCCACTCATTCCCAGATCCAGATCTTGTCCGCATAATGTTATCAATACCATAGAAATGCAACTGAAGGAAACGGTCCAGAATGGCTTGGCACCGCGACCGCAACTGCGAGCCGGAGCCCCAGCCAATCCCTGTTTCCCTCACCAGGTCGTAAAATCTTCCGGTAAACCAGCCGTCCTTCTCGTCATTATTAACCGTGTGAGAGGGAGAAGAAGAAGCAGTCATGCTCGTGCTCGACGAGGCTATTGACTGTTCCGCCATGGCGCCAGTCCAAACAATCCACAGCCAGAGTCGTCGTCGAGGGTTGGGGCTAATCTGTGGCTGCTCCGCGGACATGTTCATATAGGCAGCGGCGTCGTAAAACGTCAGGATCTGTCGGAGCCGGTTCAACATGACGGGGTTCCACGCAAACAGCCTCGTATGTTCCGTCATCCGGAGATTCTCGATCCCGCACAGCTCGCGAAGCCAGTATATCGCGCAGAGTGTGGCAGCGGCAACTTCAAGTTTCTGCAGCGTGGCAGAATTCATCAGCGTGCGCATCTCCTGGCAAAGTGTCCCAGCAACATCGAGGTGTGCGTAAGAGTTCATCAGCCTCCCGACCGTCATTATCGTTTTCGAGACGGCGTAAACCCACGCCTGACAACTAGGAGAGTTCTGGCTACGAATCTTCGCAATCATATCCATCATTTCTTGGGCGTCAAGGAACAAAGCACGGATGTCACCTTGCAGACAGGAATCCAAGTTTCGGTCTGCATCTGACCTCGATGTCGACAAGTACGGCGATACATCCTCCCACAGAGGCAAGAGCTGTTTTTCGACCCACCCGTCAGGACAGAGGTCAACAGACGCTGTTGAGAAGTTCATGACGGCAGACTGAACCTCGAGGTATATTATACCGATGTAGTGGCGGAGATTGAAGGAGGGATCTGCAAAGACTTCATCCTGGTGCGTGGCCAAGATGTCCTTGAGGACGGTAACGTGTTGATAAAAGG